GAGAGAGAGAGAGAGAGAGAGAGAGAGAGAGAGAGAGAGAGAGAAAAGAAGAAGAAGGAGGAGAAGAAGAAAATGAGTTGGTGAACGTTGTTGGTGAACATTGACAATTGTTGTTGTTGTTAATTGCCTTCAAGTTGAGCACGACTCATAATGACCCTATGAACAAAAGGCCTGAAGTCCCTCTACAACTACTGACAGGTATCAAAGTTCACAAAGTTCCTGGAGGCATGTTATTTAGAAAGTGAATGTCACTCCTGCTTCCCATTGACTATTAGCCTCATGTTCTAATCTGTTAGAATCATATTCTCATGGAAGGGTTGGCAAAACCATCTATGAACATTTTGAAAGAAGTTTATGTACATGTGTTACATAGAACACTTAGTCCTCCTCCATTGTCACAGGGACAGAGCGGAAGAGAATGGAAAGTTCATTTTTGGCTAACAGGTGATTGGAGCTGGTAAAAGCCCTGTCTGAAAAAGAGGAGGGGAACATGCATTTTATCATGTTTATAAGCCTTGCTACATATCAATAAAAAGGCTTATAGAGAAGATTCTGTCTCTTTTTCTAGGTTTCAGTGTCTCAAGTCAGTATGGAAAAATATGAGGCATAAACAAAAATTTACTCCAAAAAAGTATCTTTTTAATGTCACGCCTTGGCTTCAACCAACTGCAAAATATTCAGTTATGCTACTAACTAAGCATATTACAGTAAATTTTTTAAGATTATTTTAAGTGAAAGTTTTAAAAAATTTAGTGTAATTCTTTTCTTCTTTATTTTTCTTCTAAGTAAGCATTGCCATTACATTATGCCAGAAATAACGATGAAGTTACGGAACTGAAACAAATCAATGAGCTGAACCCATTCTGATTTGAGGCAAATGAGATGAGGCAAATGGAGACAGGTACTGCTCCAAAGTGTCATCCTCGGAAATAGCAACACATGTCAGTATATTTACTTGAGCAAATCATCTTACCACACTAATTAAAAAAATATATATAGTAATAGCATTCTATTAATTCATAATATTTGATCTTGTATCTCTGTTTCGTTCCAGATTCCATTTAGTATATTATTCAGATGATGTTGATGACCAATCACCTATGATCTTTGCTTTTGGACTATTAAAAAGAAATGATGGTTTCATTGAACTTCAGCACCTTGGACAGTATTGTTTATCCTGTAGATACTCAATGAATCTATTGATAAATTCATGCAGGTCAGTGGGCATATTTTTGTATGGCCTGGAGTCTGATCAAACACAGTCTGTCAAACCATTTCCTAAAGTGGTGTTCATCTGAACAAAGTTATTGGCAAATGTTAATAGGCATGTTGCCCAACAATGGTTTTTTGTTTTGTTTCGCATAGTTACACTGTATATGTACAAAGAAAATTTCCCCTAAAGGAAAACATATTTAGTTAAGCTTAAATGTTATGATAAATCTGTGAATTATATACAAAGTATTTTTTGGGAGGCACTTCCAGTACAACAAAGGAGACTTGGTGGCAAAGAGTATTTTATGTTGAGCTGTTTGAATTCACCAGAGACTCTTTGGGAGAAAGATGAGCAGCCTTCTTCTGTAAAGACTTACAGCTATGAAAATCTGATGGAGGGTTGCCATGAGTTGGAATCGGCTTGATGACAGTTGGTGAGGTGGTTAAGTAGAATAGAACTCTCTCATGCTCTTAGCACACGACAAATTTAAGGCGGGGGGGGGGGAATCAGATATTTACATCTTTTATGTGATCAGTTCATAGCTTCCCCATTCAAAATGCAATCTTCTAAATGATATACTACTTACTCTGCTACGATAAGCTGACACTTGGCTATCTGACTTTTCCCAGTAATGATTTCTGCTGGCCTTGCCTTTTTTACAGAGAAATTTAACCTTGAAGTGGAATTGTTGCTTAACTTATAAGCATCAATAACAGGGCATCCAAATGGGCAAAGCTAACTTCAAGATGGAAAAAAAAAATCGAAAAGAATTAGTTTTAAAGAAAATCTTTATATTTAGGCTTTATTTTTCTTCTCTCCCAGGTTTAAGTAAAAGTTTAAATAATTCAGCCATGGCATATAGACTGCCAGGAAAAGTCATTCTGAATCTTTTATTGTTCACATTTATGAGATTTAGGGATTCATTGCTGTTTCATTGAATAAAAATTCCAGAGATAAAGAAAATAGTCTGTTATATTTGACAGGTGAATGAATATAACCATACATTACCAAGTATAAGCACC